GGTGAGGGTTTAGGATTCAGGATTTAGGGTCTAGGGTTTAGGCTTGGGGGTTCTTTTTTTGACAGTGGACTTTCACGCCTGCCGAAGCACTGGTCTCTATCCAAGTAAGGCTCCTGGGTTTAGGTTTAAGGCTTAGGGGCCCCGACTCTCCTGGCATTTGATCCTATGAGGGTCCTGAACCTGTTTAGATTCAAGCATGTAAGCACACCCGAAACCCTTGCTCCAGAAACCCGAAGCCCTAATACTAGTATTATTGCGAATAGTATTTCTAATCCGATTATTACTAGTATTGTTCTTACCAGTACTATTGCAATTATTACAATTCTTACTAGTATCATTATTTGGTATTATTGAACCGAAGGCTTGCAGGCAAGCAAGGGGAACCTCGATCGGAACAAACGCTTCACGTTGCTCAAGGGTATCATGGACGGCCTCTGAGGCAACAGAGGGAGATGGAGGTTTCCCAAGATTAGGGGTACCTTTACAGGGTAATGGTTATATAGGGTTCTATGGGATTCTATACGATCTAGGGTTAGGGGTTCCCAAAATTGGGGGTAGCTTTTTGGTGGTCCACATACCAAGGACTATAATATTTTGGGGTCCATATTGGGGTTTGGGGTCTCCGGAAACTACCAAATAGACCCGGGCATGCCAACCCTACCAATGAACCGTAGACTGAAGGAAGCCTCAAAACTAACCGCAACCTCTTCAACCCCTAAATAGTTGCTTCCATGTGATTTTCCATTATCCCATATAATCCCAATGTAACCCCAGTATACTACAGTAGTTTCCTGTTTCTTTTCCATTGTCCCAACATAACCCAAGATCCTCGCAGCATGCGGCCACATACACCGTTTTCGGCGGCATTTGCTGAGTAGCGGTTGCTATCATCTACCCAAGCAAGTCGCAGACCCGCACAAATCCAAAAGCACCTCAACACTCCAGGGTTTGGGGATATATGGGGATAAAGGAAAATAAAATGGAAACTACTACCATAGTATATTGGAGTTATAATGGGATAATGGAAAAGAAAATGGAAACTACTATAGTATGTTGGGGTTATAATAGGATAATGGAAAATAAAATGGAAACTACTATCTTATATAGGGGTTATATAGGGGTTATCTAGGGGCATTAGCATTTCAGAAGACTTCAAGATCATGCGAAGAGCGTTTCAAGATCAGCCGACCGGGCGTGACTGTTGCGAGAGCACAATAGCAGACACATAGGGCGCCCCGCTCAAGAGTAACATTGAAGACTTCTTGCGAGAATTTTCCACGCAAGAGCTATTTCAAAACATGAGTTTGAGCAGATTTGCAAGAATGCTCCACTGGAGCCGCGGGCAGCAAGCAGCCGCATGGACACCAACAACAGTTTGTAGCATCTTGGGGACACCCTTTTTCTGCTGACTGCTTGGAATCATAATCAAATCAAAGAAAAAATACACAGGTTTGACACATTGTTTTGCGTCGTCATATTTATGGAAGATTGCTCTGCATTCAGTTAGCGCTGTCAAAGTGCCCTCGAGATGTGAAGCATAGACCGATTACTTGCTGCTGCTGCCAGGAATGGGGAAAGGGGAAAGCAGATGAACGCGAAGCGTGCTTGATTCATGTGCTGAAAATGTTGGCAGGCGCGGGAAATTTCAATTTTGGCAAGATCTTGTGACCCCTCGTTTTTGGACAGAGCCCTGTCAAAAAAAAAACGAGGGGTCACAAGAATTCATCGCGCGCATACGGAGGCATGGTAGAGCCCCGCATTTGAGCCATTTCACGGCTTGCACGCTGCATACGGCTTCATATGTGATTGCTGAGAGCATTTCTTCAGCCGCCTTCAAAGCAACATGGCTGACCTGCCATCATGCTGGACAATAATTCTGTGCTGCTGCATATTGTGCAGCCGTCATGGCCATTAACGTGTCGTACTCCTAGGATTGAGATCACGGGCCTTGTGTTGGCTGTGCAGTTACGATGAGAATCATTCAGCTGCGTTCTTGACATTAACACTTGACAAGAGTTTTTACGCCAGGCACCGGAAAATGATTGATTGTCATCGCTCCTATGAGATCTTTCTTGGTCATTTTCCATACCATTAGGATACCTTTCTTGAGGCTTGTCCAAGGAGCCCAAGCCTCAAACTCCTAAACCGTACAAGCACAGGGCTAGAAGAACTCTGCTCCCCACACCTTGAAACCCCTAAACCCCACAACTAGAAGACAAAACCACCAAATGAAGCCAAACCCGAACAGCAACAAACCTCATAGCAGCAGCAATAGCAGCAGCACTATCCGGCTAGCCACTACGCCACTAAAATTCCTAGCTGCTTTACTCTTGTTACAACGAAGTTCTACGTAGCCTTCCTGTTAGGGTTTAGGTTGGCCACTACACACTGTATCCTACATATTCCTACAGCGGCACTATTACTAGATGGGGGCCTCACCAAATCCTAAACTCCTGAACCCCAAACCCTAAATCCTACAAAGTAGCTTCCATTTTCTTTTCCAGTATCCCAATAATTCCCCCTTATCCCCAAACCCCTCAAACCTAAACTCACAAAACCCTAAGCCCTAAACCCCCTAACCCCAAAGTAGGACTCTCTTTGCCTTTAAGCCTCCCACCCATTCGCGCCGGGGACCTCTGCCGAAATGAGAATCTCTCTGAGATGCGACCTGGCCTCCAAGGGATGAGGGTTTAGGGTT